AGCTTTTCATTACATTCAAAGCAGGTAGTTATTTCCTCAGCAATATTACCTGGTATAGCTTTGTTAAGAAGCAGTGACCTATCACAGCTCATTCTCTAGAGGAACTCTGATACGGCCGCCCAGACCTGGTCCAGCTATGTCTTTTATAGCCCTCCATACTTGTCTAACAAAAGATCCAACACTGAAATGAGATCCAGAAGTAAAAAGAACATGCTTTCTCCCTGTGCTTGTGGGGGGGGGGGTCCCCTCTAAACATCTATCAAACCCTAGTGCTCTAGCAATTAACTGGAAAAAAGGGTGATTCTGTCTACCGAGGCTATTTGATGCAGTCCATCAGTGGTCGTTCCACTACAGGCGACAAAGGCACCACAGTCGTTCCCCCGATCTTTCCCCTTTACTCACACAGGTGTGTTTAACAGAGCTACTCATAGCGGACAGGTTCACACAACACAGTAAGCCAACCTGCCCTTGGTGTACTGAACAGGTACCCAAGTGTGGCTGGGAAAAAATAGATGAAAATTAATTTTTGGCACACAACTTTGTGCACCAGAAAAATCTGGAAAGGCTGGGCTGCTTCTCCAAGGTGCCAGTGGGACACTTTCCAGGGATTCTCCATAGCGATCGGCCGCAGCCTGCGTTGCACCCCCACCATGAAGACTGAAGTGGAAAAAGGGGCAACCAGAGAGGCAGAGGGGGGACCTCCATGCCAGCTGCCCCCAAGTGCTGCTCAGCTACTTTGGGATGGGCTGCCAGTGGCACTTGCTCGAGATACCCATGGCAAGAATGACAAGGCTGTTTTTCCACTCTTATACACATTTTTGCACATTACATTCAATGCCGTCCCTGGGCAGTTCACAACATCTAAGTCACCAATTCAGATTTCAGCTGGGCCCAACTCTGCTTAACTTCCAAGACTGGGCAAGATCAGGCACTTCAGGCTATATGGAAGCTGTCAGATCCCTGTTTGCACGCACATTTTTTCCCTGCACAGCATGGGGTGCTTTGCCAAGGGGAACCTCGGCTGTCCAAAGTGGGATTGCAAAAGCCCTCTGACCTTTGCAGTCTCCCTCTCCACCCCCCCCCCCAAATCTTAAAAGGAAAACACCCTAGTGGATCCAAAATGACTCTCAATTGCAGCAGAAGAAATACACACCAGTGCTCCCAGGGTCACCTCGTGTATGCAGACGAGGACCGGGGGGTGGGCATCGTCTGTTGGGCCTGTCGGGTTGGGTGGCTTCTGAGCTACCCTGTGCAGCTCACTATGCAGCATGGCTTAGCGTGCTGCGAGAACCTGCCCACTGAGGCTCTGTTACATGTGCCTGCACGACTGTTCACCTGTGAACCAATCCATATCCCTGTTTTAAATGTTTGCAAGTGCTTCTAAGGGCAGAATTGCTTCTATCAGCCATGACTTCAGTCCAACAGCTCAAGCACATCCATCTGTGGAGGTATCCCGGGCAGTGTTTGGCTGGACGTTGTAGGACAACTTTCACTCTTTTGTTGTTGTTGTTAGTCACGAAGTTGCGTCCGACCCACCACAACCCCATGGACAACATTCCTCCGGGCCCTCCTGGCCTCCACCATCCCCCGGAGTCCACTCAAGCTCACGCCCACTGCTTCAGTGACTCCATCTCACTCTTTAGGGCCTGAAAATATGAACAAGGTGGTTCATGGGTACGTGAGGTGTCCCATGGAAGTGGGCAGAGACCTGTTCTCCCCTGCAGAGCAGGGCAGCACACCTTCCAATGGAACCAAGTTCAGGGAACCAAGGTTCCATTTGGATGCCAGGAAGCACTTTCTGACAATTAGGACCCCGAGGGTATGGAATGGGCTTCCCCGGGAGGTGGTTGAAGCCCCAGTGGTGAAGGTGTTTATGGATAGGCTGGACATGCACATGGTGGGCATGTCATGAACAGAGCTGGCTGGAGCTGGGGGTCAGACTAGATGGCCCAAGAACCCCCTTCTGACTTGCTGTTTCTATGTGGTTGGTAAAGTCCACCTAGCCAACTGCTTGCCCAAGCGTTAGCTTCACAGCCTATTACATCCAGTAAGCAGGTAAGGACAAGCTGGTGTTGAGAGGTTACAAATTCTTCTGTGCAAAAGTGGAGCAACTCTCTTCCAGGTGAAACACCTTCTTAGAAAAATGGGAGTGAACCTGGAAGATCTGAATGGTTATAGGTCTGGAGATGGTACTCAAGCACATAGCAACTTATTGGACCCATAAACACTTGAACAGGCTTTCCAGCAGCATTTCAGTTGGGGCCTAGGCTTGATTTGGCACTGAAACTGCCTTGGGTCGTCCTATGGGCAACCTTAGCCTGGAGAGATCAGGAAAGTGCATAGTGATTCTTTTGGACTTTTCAGCAGCTTTCTGCACCATCAGCCAGATATCCTTCTGGAGAAGGATGCTGGGTATTTATTTATTTATATTGTGATTTATATCCTGCCTTTTTCCTACAAAGGGCTCAAGGCAGCTTACATCTTTCTCCTCCTCCATCTTATCCTCACAACAACCCTGTGAGGTAGGTTGGGCTGAGAGTCTGTGACTGGCCCAGTGTCACCCAGTTGGCTCCATGGCTGAGCGGGGACTCAAACCCAGATCATCTGAGTCCCAGTCCCATGCTCTTAACCACTACATCACACTGGCTTTCCATGGGCGAGCATGGTTTTCCAATGCTAGTGCTGTGACTTTGATGGCTTCCCAAAGGCAATGCTTGAAGATTTCTGCTAAATCCCATGACTTTTTAAATTTTGGATTCCTGAAAGGTTCCACCTTATCCTTCCCACTAGTTCACATCTTCACATCAACTGTTCAGTGAGGTCACTCAGATATTTCTAGTTTAGTACGATCAGTATGTTGTTGCATTGCTTTTTTTTTTAATGCTGGGCAAGGCAGATGAAGTGCTTAATCAATGCCAGACACTTTTGTGAGCAGACTGCCTGTGAAGGGTGAAGTTTTGGATTCTGAGACTTGAAAATCTAATCCCAAACCATTTAAACAAAAATCTGGAATAAGCAAGAAAATGGCATTGCTTATACACAGCTGCTGTTCTTTGAAAGCAGTAAGAGCAGGCTAACCTTCTTCCTATTTTTCAGTTAGTTTCAACAGAGAGGAGGAAAAGGGCACATTGCTGAAAATTTTTAGGGAGTGAACAAAGACACTTCCTTGCCTCAAAATCCCAAAGCCCCTGATCTACTACCTTGACCATCAAATTCATGGGGTCTGAAATACTTACAGGGTGTAGTCATGACATATGTAACTAGAGTTTGACCCAGCAGAATTGCATTGTTATGAATCAGTTTTGACAGTTGTTGAAAGACTAGCTAATGGAGATGACCTATTTTACTGTTTTCATTTTTATTAAAATATGTGTGATAGACATACCAAATATTAAATTGTATAAGAAATCTAGTTTTATAGAATTCCCTGAGAATAGAAAACTGAGAGATGATGCTTCCCTACAAGGAGGAGGTTCTGAACACTATTGCCAGTTCAGCCAGGCTTATGAAGTTCTCCCTTTATGCACTAGGGTCGGCATAATGGATGGAGTCTCTTGCCTCTTCTATTGGATGGGTGGGAACACCGGAGACAGAAAGCGGATCTCCAGTGCTTTATTTCAGCAACTCGGCCAAGCTCCCCAGATACTGCAGCTCTTTCCGGTTTATTCCCAGCCATCCAGTGGCGTGGCATGCCTTGCTGCTTGTTTGCTGTGCCAAAAGGGGGAGCTGGATCAAGCCCCCCCCCCCCCCCACACCACTCTGCTGCCTGCCTAGCGACACCCAAAAGCAGCAGGAGGAATGTGTCGGCAGCATGCGTTGGCCCAGTGCCTGCACCTGCCTCTGCCCACCTTCTCCCAAGAGCTGTAGTGCACTTGCCTCCCAAGACAGTATTTATACTAATGCACACAGTATGAGAAACAAACAGGATAAGCTTGCAATCCTAATGGCGGAAGCACTGTCACTTGGTGTGACAAGGCGCCAGAGTGAAATAACAGTAGAAGGGCCTGGTGCCGAGTTTATATTCTTTTCGGTGCCAGGTTAAAACCTTTTTATTTAACTGTTATTTTAAAAACTAATTTAAATTTTAATGTTTAACAGCTTTTATTTAACTTATTGAATTGGTATTTTTTGGTTGTTATTTATTGCTGTTTTATTGTGGTTGTTTTAATGATTGTAAGCCATCCTGAGATGCCATGCATAAGGGACGGTATACAAAAGTTTTTAATAAAAAAACAAAAAACAAAGGTATTTCTTGTTCAAAAGAAATAGCGAATCTGTGAAGGAAAGAGGAACGAAAGTGGAGAAGGCCACTCCACCAGCTGGACGTCGAGGACGAAGCTTTCCTGAAATGGATTATAAAACTTTAACAGAAGCAAGCAATGGTCATAGTAGGGGATTATCCAGCTGGAAGTGCTCGAAAAGGGATGATCCAAAAAGACATGGAAAACGAAGACGGAACAGATGTTTCAACGAGCCTGGAAACACCGGCCCGCTCGGGGGACGGGCAACTCACACCGGCCCGCTTCTACACGGAGCTCAGGGACCATGGCCAACCCAGAGCCCGGGCAGCCGCAGGCCGCGGCACTGAGCCAGGCCGCGCTTCCTCCGCAGCGCGTCGCGCTTCCGCGGGCAACGGGGCCGGTGAGGGCGGGACGCGGCTTTGGGCCTCCGCTCGTCGTGCGGGCGCCAGCCGCGCCCCTCCGAGGGCGCCGCGCGGGAAGCAGAGCGAGCGGCAGGCCGCCGCCGCCGCCCTCGCAGGCACCGTCGGGCGCGGTGCGAGCGCGGAAGGCCGAGCGCCCTCCCCGGGACGGGCCGCTGGCGCCGCCGCTTCGGCGGGCAGCCTTCGCGCCCCCACCGGCCCCGCGCCGCGCGGCCCCTTTAAGAGCCATGTAAACAAAGCCTGACGCCCCGTCGCTTTCCTCCCGCGCGCGTACTGACGTCATTGCCGCGCGACCGGCGCTCTTACGCAGGCGCGGAGAGCCGCACTATTCTCCAAGCTCAGCGGCGACGGCGGCTCCAGCTGTCCGATGGGATGGCTTACGCCAAGTGCGCGGGGAGGCCCGGGCCAGTGCGCAGGCGCGGCAGCCCCGGCTGGGTCGCGTGTGGGAGGGGGGAGTCGGCGGCCGCGGAGAGAGCAGAACATGAATGGAGCAAAATGGCGGATCATGTGCAGGTGAGGCGAAAAGGGGCCGTCCGCCGCCGTGGCGCGGGGTTCCGAAGCCGGGCGCCGCCGCCGCGGGAGCCGAGCGTGCGGCGAGGCCGCCGCCCCGGCCCGCCCGCGCCAGGACAGCGCTGGCCGCCCTCCGGCCGGGCGCCCACCGAGGGAGCGCGCCGGGTCCGGG